GTACTTGATGCTTTTGAGTCACTCCAGATTAGAATGCTTGTGTCTCTGACCACAACAGTACTAAGCATACAATACTATAACTTCAGTATGAACTACATAATTTTTCTAAAAAAAGCTGTTATGGAATGATAGAAACATTTTTCGATATATTTAACCACCATGCAAGCAGCTTTCTGTAAACATTTAAATCTCTACAAGTATTTGAAATAGAAAATAACTGTCTACTGTGACAGTCTCGGTTTCTATTTCCTTCTCCGGATTGCCATAATATTCCTACCATCACAATCTATTGAACATTTTTTAAATGTTTTTTCAGTATTGTATTTCTTTTTGTGCTGATTCCTGTAAAAGATTTGGTGTGTAAAGGCCTTCTCTGTTCAGCATAAACACAGCTTAGTAAAACATTAAAATTCCATTTTTAACATATTGATATAATTTTATTTTAGCCAAAGCAAAGCCTAGAGAGGAGTGTGGCATTTTTAATGGTATTTTGTAAGTACTGGGCTCAAGGAGAAAAGGTGATGACTTCTTAAGAAATGGACAAAGTCTGAAAGGTCTTCCAAACAGGCAGCACTACTGAGCTGCACGGTTTTCCTTGTCCACTGGCCTCCTCCTGACAAAGGGAACTTTCTCTGCCCTCAGTTTGGTAGAAATCAAACGTTTACCTACCTCCATGATAAGTGCAAAGAGTAATTTACTTTCCTTCCCTACCCTCTCTTTTTCCCCCTTTGGATAAATCTTTGTGCAAACTGAACTGGTATTGAATGATTAACACAGCTTTCTTTCTTGCTGTGATACTTTCAGCTCCTGGTAAAACTAAGCAAGATCAACTGTAGAAGCAGTAAAATCTCTCACGTAAAGGAGGGAGTGGAATAGTATGCCTTGTTCTTCAGAGCTGGAATGGAAAAAGGATGGTTAAAAGTGGGAATAAACAGGAAAACAGGCTAGGTAAAAGAGCAGCATATTTGTATCTCTGCTGAAGTCTTCTGATTTATTTTTACTATTTGCATATACAGTGCTTGACTGAAAAATCCAAAGCCTAGAAAAAACTATAATATAAACAATTCTAAAACCTGTGTAGTAAATATGTGAACATTACTAAGAAAAAGAAACAAATTCCTTTTTATTTTTTCTCCACAGCATTATGATACTTTAATTGTGTTAATTTAATGATAATTTAATTGTCACTTCATCTAAATCTGTCCATCCCATTCCAGATAATAGAAGCCAAGTAAGTCTAACAAACAGAAAACCAAACCGAACAAACAAAAAAAGATGCTAGCTAGAACCATTAATTTCCCAAGGACTCTCCTAAACTCAGAATCAGAGGTTAGATATCCTGACACCCAGATGAAATTTCCATGTACCAGGAAAATCTTATTTAAAGCACGCTGTCTTTTGTCTGCTCTTCTAGATGCTGACAATAATAAGATTCCCATCAGTGTCACTCCTGCAAGTTAATTCTATTACACCATGAATTATTTAAGTAGAGATACTAGCAAATTATGAAGCAGGTTTGTAGGAATATTTGCCTGTCCTCTCCACTTGAAATGTCCAATAAGAGCTTGCTGCCAAAGGAGCATATGGAGATTTTGCAGGTAGTTAGCCAGAGGATTAACTGGAGGTTTGTTACAACTGGCTGATGTGGACAAGGAAACCTATGAGCATGCCTCTTTAGTGCAAGCCATATGGTCCATTTTTCCCCCATATACATCTGGATTTCAGATACATTCCATGATGAGTTTAGATGACCTGGTTAAAGAAATGGGTGTTTCAAGAAAAAACACAGAAAATAACTATATGGGACAGAGGTAAATTCAATTATTGCAACGCCTCATAGGCAATTTGGTTTCCAAAACTTTAGTGCAAGGTAAGCTTTGCAGGAAAGCATTATGAGAAAGAAATCTAGATCAAAAAGCTGGTGGCAGCTTATATAGCTGCACTAAGAAAGAAGGAGCTACCTTCAATAGCCTTGACAGTTCTGGTATATAGGATTATATAGGACTGAGGGAATTTTACAGTATCAAAGTAGATAGGAACTAAGTATTTTACTGCACCAGTTCGACAGAAGGTATAATTTTTATTATAGTAGTGCCTGTTGATTTCATGCACTGAAACTAACGAGGTTTTTGTAACAAGAGAACTGCTATATCTATGGCAACACCAACTTGAATCAAGAAGCTATGTCAGTGGTTAGAGACTTATGGAGAAAAAGCTGCAGATACATTTACAGGATCTTATGTCAAAATATGATTCTATATGAGCACACAGGAGGCTGGACTGTGGCCATTTAAATATTAGGGATTTACTAGAGGGAAGGAACCTTTTAATATAAGCTCAATAACCATTGCTTTAGAATCATAGAATTGTTACATTTGGAAAAGATCACTGAGTCCGACCATTAACAAAGCACCACCATGTTTACCACTAAACCATATTACCAAATACCACATCCACATGCCTTTTGAACACCACCAAAATGGTGTTTCTACCACTTCCCTGGGCAGCCTGTTCCAAAGATTTCCCATCTTTTCAGTGAAGAAATCTTTCCTAATATCTAATCTAAAGCTTCCCTGGTTCAACTTGAGGCTACTTCCTCTCATCCTATCACTTGTTACCAGGGAGAAGAGATTGAACCTCACCTCAGTACAACCTCTTGTGAAACAGTTGTAGAAAACTATTAAAGTCTCACCTGAGCCTCCTTTTTTCCAGGCTAAGCAACCACAGCTCCCTCAGCCACTTCTTACAAGATTTCTGCCCCAGACCCTTCACCAGCTTTGCTGCCCTTAGCACCACAATGTCTTTCTTGTAGTGAGGGGCCAAGACCAAACACGGGATTTGAGGCCTCACCAGTGCCAAATACAGAGGGATAATCATTGCCCTGGTCCTGCTGGCCACATTATTTCTGATCCAAGCCAGAATTCCACTGGCTTTCTTGGCCACTGCTTGGTCATGTTCAGTCTGCCGTCAACCAAAGACAATCAGGGCATCCCCAGTGCATACCTGCTCCCACACGCCCAATAAGGAAGAGTTATGGTCTCCTGTCACTTGGACCAGCTGTGACAGAATAGCTCAAATTATCGTAAAAGTCTCTTCCATAGGTAGACACTTTCGCACTTAAGTTTGGAAAGTAGAATAATAATGCAAGTATAGGACAGTTAGAAAACAATACATCTTAGAATGGTTTTCCCACACAGCATGTTCTCAAGATTCAACTATTGGCATTTGTAACAATTTTGGTTTATACCACTGGGGATGTGGACAGTATCACAATTACTCTTGAAGAGAAGATCTTAAAGCAGATGTAAAGGAGATGCTGACTTTGCTGGAAGAGATGGATGAGACTAAAGGAATTGGTAGCAAAGTCCAGTTAGCAATCGTAGGAATTCAGTGAGGGGCTGAACAGTTCCTCTCAGAAGAGAAACTGAGATTTTAGGAGCTCTTACTTACTAGTATCACTTTGGAAAGCTAGAATTATTGATCATAATATAAAATACCATCCTAACTTAAAAAAACTCTAACAAAACAAGTCCAGAAGACAATGTATGTGTGGGAGTTTCACAATGCCCAGAGACTACTGGTGAGCAGCCCCAGCAGCTGTAAGAGATAACCAAAGATTTAACATCCTGTGGTAAACCTATGATAGCAAGGCCATTCAGTATAAAGAAGTGACAATTAGATTGTATGCTTTGCTAACAAAAGAAAAGAGAACACAAACCACCAAACATGATAAAGCAAAACCAGCTTTTGATTCAAAACCAGTCCCTTTTCCAAGAAGCCATATTCCTTTTGAATTGGTTAAAGCAAAACAAGAATGTGGCAACCAATAAAAATATTACATATATAAATATACTGAAATATGTGGATAAACTTTAATCTTGATAAAAGTGGTGAGTCCAAGTGAGATATCAGAATGAAAGGTGAATGGTGTAGAAAACTGAAAGCAGCACTTGCTCATTAAAAACTGCCTTTAGAAAATTCAAACATTTGAGTTTCTAAGAGACAGGCAATACTATTACAAGTGGTTGCCTGAGTACCAGCAGAGAGTCAACAGGCTGAAACAAGAAGGTACTCACCATGATAACGAAGTGGGAGTACTGCCAGTTAAGATTAAGGGGATGAAACAGCATAGAACAGAGTAGAGATAGTGGAGGAATGAGGAATTTTTAATAGAGAGGTTGCATCTAGTAATATCAGGAATCATTCTGACATGGACTGGCTATGCAGACCAAAGCTTCTAGGTTATATGGAAAAAAGATAAAAATAGTGCCTGAGTAACATTAAAAGAAAGTATCTTCAAAATCCTAATTCTTGTTCTAGGTTTTTTTATTCATTACTGTCATAATAAGAGATACTTTCACAAGAGGATTCAGGTTTACATCATATCCATGATTTCCCCACTAAGTAAGGGGAATTTTGACAATGGTTCAATGCTTCTACCAGAAAACAAATTTTACAAACAGAAAATTATTGGTATGTAATTTATATTCATGTGTTTGGCAGTAGGTTGAAAGTTTTACATCAGGTACCATCCAGATAGATTTGGTAAAGTGAACAGGAAGAAAAGAGTTGTAAAAATGTTGTAAAAATTAATTATAAGCAAAACAGATAAAATGAAGTGCTTTCTATCTTTTTAAGACCGTTTGAATGATGACTGAAATAATCATGAACAACTCAATATGCTGCAGTGCAGCATCTCATAACAAAATTTCAGGATGGAAAAACTAAAACTGATTCAACACTAAGGGTGAATTCAAATCACAGAAAGAATATAGACCACTTAAGTGCTTTTTAGAGAGTAAGTATCCATGTTTTTATTTGAAATACCTTAAGGGATGATACAGCTATTTACAAATCAGCTGAAAATTCATCCAGCACAATGTAAACTACTTTGTTTCCCATTTGTTTAAAGAATGTTACCTGTTGAATTGCAATCACTTGTGCTACTTTATGGGACTTTTTTCAAATGATGCAAATTACTGGATGTACTGCTTTTAACCATGGAGCTCGTACAGCTGTTAGTTCACCATCTCCCAGCTGAATATTTACTGGTAATTTGTCAATTCTGTAGATCCAGAGTGGCTAAACCTCTCTGAGAATGAGGATCTCTTACAATTTTCCCAGTTTGAACCTTTCTATAATTACCTCTCGCATGTAAAATGAGTACAGCAACAAGGAAAAGATGTTGGGAAGTGTTCCTAAAGGAGTAAGTAAAAACACATTGATATTTGGCAAATATGGATAACAGCCAGGACTTACCAAAATAAGTCTGCCTAGCTGAAAAATGAAGACAGACTTCAAGGCCACAAAATAAGCAGGAGTAAGAAGAATGTGAAAAAGAATTAGGCAAGCCTACATCAACAATAATGTCTGATTTACAGTACCAAGCAAACACAAAAGGAAATATCACCTGTTATCAGCTTCTGCATGATTGTCTCGTTCAGATTTGAAACAGCTATTGGGTACACTGGCTGCAAGGCTCTTCTACACTGTGAGCCTTTGAAAGGAGTTGGGATTTTTTCTTTTAATACTAGGTACTATCAGGCTTGTTACTGAAAATTACCTTTCCTAGAGTGGTGCCCTTTGAGAAAGCAACAGCATGCATGTTGCATTTCAAGCATCTGTTGTGACATTTTAATTTGGATGGTTTATAATGCAGAGAAAAAGAAAAAAATCACAAACCAAGCATCTCCAAATCAGAAACCTAAATCAGTACAAATAAATCACATTTGTCAAATACTAAACAATTGGTAGTGTATTAAAGGTAAAGAATTTATTCAAAGTAGCAGCACCAGTTAGAAGTAACTCTCTTGGAACATGTGATGTCAGTTGTAAAATGTCACACTCAGTTGTCTTTAGTCTCTGGAGATATAAGTTATACTAGAAATCCATCTTCTGTAACACAGTTAAGCCAAATGAATAATGATATGGAAGATTGATTCTGGTTGTGGCTATTATGAAGTTGAGTACTGGTAGATTCAATACAGATACAGAGAAGCTACACAAAAAAAAGGCATAAATACTACTTTTCCTCTGCAGAAAATGAGAAATATTCAGACCACTATTCAGACCAGAATAAAAGTTACGATTTTATAGGAACTGCCACGGCTACAAAACCATTCGATTACTACACATAGTAAACATTATTTCTTCATTACCAAAATACTTTAAAAAGAGATTTAGTGTATACAGGTAAATCCAAAATAAGCATATAAAGCTAAGCCTTTCTATAGAAGCAGGTATTACAGTTGAGTCAGTTTTAGCAACCTTTGCTCTAGGGAGGCTGTGTGAAAAGAAGGAGGTTTGCATTTCTATCAAGTTTCCAGAAGTAGAAGTTTCTCTCATGGGAGTTCATTTAAAAATGTTCACTTAGTTCTTACACCAGAGTTCCTTGTGGTTAATAATCTGATTTTCATTATACTTTAATGCAAACAAGCTGTTATATTTAACAGACAAGCAAATAAAATCCAGAAAATGCAGCTGTTAAAAGTGTCAGGCAGGCACAATTGAAATATACAGACCATGCAGTTTTCTTTTTTAATAAGTGCAACTTTTATAGCACTTATTATGTTCTAAGCATAACTCTAGCTAACCCGCAAATCCCAACATAGAAAAAGTTGCCTTACACATTGCATTGCGTTAAGAAACAAAAGCTAAGCAAAAAATTCAAATAAATAAATAAGAAAACCTTCATAGCCATCTTCTGATCAAGACGAGGGTAATTTTTTGTTAAAATTAACATGCCAAAATTACATTTTTACAGTGTGATGGGCATAAGGACTACACTTATCATTTTTAACTCCTCTTCTGTCAGCAGATGATCAATTTCATTTCAACCAGGGGAAAGATCTACGATAAGCTCAAGAAGCAATGATGCCTGTGCATAAAATACAGAACGTCGTTCCTCGTTTGTTCTTCAGAGAGTTTCACACGAGCCTTGTGATGTAATGAGACATCATTATCGGTCATTAGAAAGAACTCTAACCACAGCTCTGAAATTTAAAGCAATGCCCTACGTAGCCAGGCTGGAGGTCCAAAGTCTGGCTCATTAAGTGCGGCTGCTGTTCAGCTTTCCCACGCGAGTGTCCCCACCGCCGTGGCCCTCTGTGACACTGAGTGTGACACAAGTGACGTCACTGGCTGCTGCTAGGGGAGGTGGCGCGGAAACAGCATGTTCACGACGTCAGCAATTAAAGAGAGGAACCCGTATCTTTTACCTTGAATCCACACATACAAACCAGCCACAGATCTACAGACATAACTTCACACGCGGCTTTGCTGCGTCTCCTAGCACCCACAAAGCGGCGGTGTCACAGTCCCACGTGCACCACAAAGCACCGCTGTCACCGATCCCTCGTACCCGGCCCGGAGCTGCCCGGCCTTCCCCCCGCTCCCGGCAGAGCTCCCGCCCATGGCGCTCCCCTCAGAGCCCGGGGGCGGGGCCGGGGGCGGAGCGCGGGAGCGCGGGAAAGCGGCCGCCTCGGCCACGTGACCCCCCGCGCTGAGGCCACGCGCGCGCGGGAAGGCGCCATGGCCGCCGTGGTGTACTCGTCCCG